GCAGCATTGGCTGGTGCTGCCTGGTCGGGTTCTTGTAAGTGCTCCGAGTTTCTTAGTAAGCGTCGGGGGGGCGTCACCCCCGCCGACAGCCCCACATCGACCCCCGTTGCGGGCAGCCACCGCGCGCCGAAGGCGCGCCGACCCCCGTCGCGGCGCGACGACGAGGCGAGGTTGACCCCCGTCGGGGGGGTACCCTCCCACGCTTCTTAAGAAACCCAGGGTATTCTGGTTCCCCCCCTCCCATCACACTCAAGAGCGTGCCCCCCCTTCGCGAGGCTACCTGGGCCGCCTTACCGCTTCTCGGGGGCTCTCGAAGGCTCTTCTCGGCTTCCAACGGCAGACAAGATGTCCCAACATTGCCTCAAGAGGCATCCGATAGCCCCCAGGAGCCGACGAAAAGCACGAGTCCCCAAGATACACCCAAGAGTCCCCCAAAGCGGCCAAACACACTGATGCTGCTTCGGTGCATCAATGTGTTTCCTTTTCAATGTTCTTCGGTCGACGACCGGCCCACATTCTGTGTCCGAAAACCCTAGAAGGGCCCACGTCGAGCAAGCTGGCCCGAGAGGGCCGCCCGAGGGAACAAAGACTTCCTAAGAGGGCCCCTGGATAGCCCGAGACAGCCCCAGGACGGCCCCCAAAACGAGCCCCAAGACGCCTCGAGGGGGCCCCAATACGGGCCACGAGGGCCCCAAGACGGCCCAAGAGGGCGTCCAAGGGACTCCCAACACTGCCCCACAGGAGTCCAAAGCATCCCAAGACGGCACACATGAGCCCCATGAGAGCTCCTCGCAAAACATATTGGTTTCCTCCGATGTTTGAGGGATTTGAGCGTTATCGCCGTTTCGGCTTCCCGACGCTCCCCGACGGCTTAAGGAGCCCAAGATCGCCCCAAGACGGCCTCCAAGAGGGCCCCAAAACAGCCCTGGAGGGCCCAAATATGGCACAAGGGGTCTCCAAGAGGGCCTCAGGGTCCAAGAGGGGGCTCAGGCGGAGGACCCGAACAGACATTTCGAGCCATCGGCACCAAGAGGCCCCCATGAGGCCCCAAGAGGCCCCCCGAGGCACCCAAGAGGCCCCCAGGACGCCCCCAAAGGCCCCTCAGAGGCTCGCAAACTGCCCCCCGGAACCTACAATCCAGGCACGGTGGCCTGGGCAAACATTTGGGGGCCCTGCCGAACATAGGCAACTCTGGGAGGGAGGAGGCGCGCGGAGGGGGAGAAGCCTCGGGGTACTGCACCTAAGGCACTTCGGCGGCCACGGGGGCCACCCCGCACCTGGAGACACCATGGGCCAGGACATTCCGACACTCCTTTCTCTTCCTCCCTCCTCCTCCTCCTCCTCCTCCTCCTCCTCTCCTCTCCTCCTCCTCTCCTCCTCCTCCTCCTCTCGCCTCCTCGTTCCTCCCGCCTATCCCCTTCCTCCTCTCCTGCTCTGCTGCTGCTGCTGCTGGCCTGCTCCTCCTCCTCTCTCCTCCTCCTCCTCCTCCTCCTCCTCCTCCTCTCCTCCTCCTCCTCTCCTCCTCCTCCTCTCCCTCCTCCTCCTCCTCCTCTCTCCTCATCATCATCATCATCAGCAGCAGCAGCAGCAGGCAGCAGCATCATCATCATCATCATCATCATCATGTGTTATCCTCCTCTCCTCGACCTCCTCCTCCCTCTCCTCCTCCTCCTCCTCCTCCTCATGCCTCTCCCCCCTCCCCCTCCCCTCCTCCTCCTCCTCCTCCTGCTGCTCCTCCTCCTCCTCCCCCTCCTCCTCCTCCTCCTCCCCCTCCTCCTCCTCCTCCTGCTGCTCCTCCTCCACCACCTCGGCACCGGTACAAGCACTACTACGACGGCCCCTCCAGGGGCGCTGGACGCAGGCCCACCGCACCCGAGTGTGGGGCCTGTTCTGCGGAGGGACGTGGCCGCAGGCGCGGCTACACGCATCAGGAGCAGCAACCGAGCAGAGCGTGCGGGCTGGCACCAGGCACCGACAGGCACCGCACCTTCGTGTGCCCAGCGCGCCAGCCACATCGTGATGTTGTCGGAGGCCTCCACATTCAGCAGCGAGGAGCAAACCCCTGGCCAGGCCCAGGAGCTGACGCTCTTTGGGGGCGCGGCATCATGGCTGACCCCGCCGCCGAGCTCGGGCTCTGGGAGCTAGCTTCGTGCGACGACTGGCTCACCGAGGGCAACTGGGACGGCCTCGCGACAGGGGACATCTACGTGGACGGCTCGTTGCAGTTCGGCGACTACGCACCACTGCGACGAGAAGGATGGAGCTTCACCAAGCTCAAGGACAACGGCGAGTACGACATGGACTACGTGTGCTACGGGCCCCTCCCTGGTGCGCAGTGGGTCCAGAGCATCCTGCGGGCGGAGCTCTACGCGCTGCTGCAGGCGCTGCGCGTGGGCACGCCGCCCATGCGCATCTTCACCGACTGCCAGAACGTCGTCGACGGCGTGATGGCGGGACCGTCGTGGCTCGACAAGAGGAGCCGCCCGCACCTCGACATCTGGGAGTGCATCGTCCAGGCCATCGCAGAGCTCGGCGGCCTGGGCCCTCGCACCGTGCTGGTGCAGAAAGTGAAGGCCCACGCGACGCGCGCCGAGCGAGCAGCGATCGGGCGCGCGCAGTGGGAGGGCAATAAAATTGCTGATCAATCTGCCAAGAAGGGAGCTCTGTACCATACCCATCCTGTCTGGTGTAGAGAAACCTACGTTCACAAGTATCGACTGGTTCGGGACATCCTGGAATTCGGAGCCTATGTAGGAGCCTTGGGCCGTGATATTGTCGACACTGAGCAGGGCTCGAGTCCGACGGACTCGAACCCCGCCGACCCCCCTTCGGACCTCCTGGACCATCCTGGGAACCTGGGGGCGGTCGCGGGCGAGGAGGGCGGGGCCCTGGTGGCCCCAGACCCCCCAGCCCCGCCCCTGGATGCTGACCTCCCGTCTCGGGCCGCTCTGGACTGGGGGTGCGCCAGGGTCGACAGAGCCCAGAGAGCGGGGCACAAACTAGTGACCCGCAGCACGTACGTTTTTGCCGCAGGTGCGCCAGGTACGCCCGCGACAGGTGGACGGGCCTTTTCTCCCCATGTCGCCCTGGGGCCCAAAGGGTGATCGGGGGTAGGCTGACGCGATTGTGGAGCGGGCTTCACCCCTCCACAAACCAGCCCCTGTAGGGGCTCCTGGAGTTTCGGGTTTGGCTCGGGGACGGCCCGAAGCGGCCCGACGCTCCCACGGCACGAAAGCGTAGGCGGTCGTGATCCGTTTTGGCCCGCACTCATCCGCACTCATCCTCCACCACCTCCTCCTCCTCCTCCTCCTCCTTGTCATGCCCCTCTTCCTTTTTTCTCCTCCTGCGCTCGACGGGACTCCTCGCGCAGGCACCACCTGACGACGGGCACGGCGGCCAGCAAAGCCAGGAGCAGGCCGACGGCCGCCACCATGGGGATAAAGGTATTGGTCTGCGGGATGGGGGGGACCAGCTGGAGGAGGAGGAGGAGGAGGAGGAGAAGGAAGAGGAGGAGGAGGAGGAGGAGGAGGAGGAGGAGGAGGAGTAGGGAGGAGGCAGAGGAGGAAAAGGAGGCGGAGGAGGAGGAGGCGGAGGAGGAGGAGGAGGAGGAGGAAAAGGAGGCGGAGGAGGAGGAGAACGAGGAGGCGGAGGAGGAGGCGGAGGAGGAGGAGGGGGAGGTGGAGGAGGAGGAGGATGAGGAGGATGAGGAGGAGGAGCGGCAGAGGACGAGGAGGGAGGGGACGAGCGAGCAGCAGCATCAGTAGCACCCGAAGCAGGAGAAGGGTGAGGGCAGGAGCGGACGAGAAGGAGGTAGAACATCGTGGAGTCGGCAACGTAACTGGAACTGGATAGCATGGTAACTGTAACTGGCTCGATGAATCGGTACACCCGGCAAGGAAACGTTACTGGTAATAATCGCATTGCGAGCTGCACACGCAAGCGCTGTCCTTCCTCTGCTCCAAAGCGACCCCGTGGGATGTGAGGGGGGCGTAGAAAGGAAACTGGGGACCGCCGCGGCGATCTGTGGGAGGAGCGGCAGCCGCGTGGAGGCTCTTGGCCACATCTGTCAAAGCGTAAACGTGCCCCGCCACGAGACCAGGAGAAGGAGGAGGAGGAAGAGGAGGAAGATGATGAAGAGGAGGAGGTGGATGGGGAGGAGGAGGAGGAGGAGGAGGAGGAGGAGGAGGAGGAGGAGGAGGAGGAGGAGGAGGAGGAGGAGGATGAGGAGGAGGCGGAGGAGGAAGGGAGGAGGAGGCGGAGGAGGAGGAGGAGGAGGAGGAGGAGGAGGAGGAGGAGGAGGAGGAGAGGAGGAGGAGGGGGAGGAGGCGGAGAGGAGGAGGAGGAGAGGAGGAGGAGGAGGAACAGGAGGAGGAGGAGGAGGAGGAGGAGGAGAAGGAGGGGGAGGAGGGGGAGGGGGAGGGGGAGGGGGAGGAGGAGGAGGAGGAGGAGGAGGAGGAGCAGGAGGAGGAGGAGGAGGAGGAGGAGGAGGAGGAGGAGTCCGTAGCCATTTTGGCTCAAGACCAAACGGGGGGAAGCAACGAAGTTGCGAGGTAACCTGATTGGTCTTGTTGCCCATCCGTGGCCACCCTCGAGGCCGATTCAGGCCAGGTTTTCGCGAGCACGCTCGTTCCCGCCACGGCGAGCCGCCAGCGCGGCCGTGGTTTCTGTCCCAGGACGCAGGAGCCCCTCGAGCCATGTCGCCAGGGTGGTACTGTGGCAAGTGCGGGTTCTACAACTACGGGCACCGCCGTGTCTGCCGCCAGAGCGGATGCGACGGATGCAATCCAGTTCAAGCAGCCCGGCCTGATCAGAGCTACTGGGCACAGTACTCGGTGCCAGGCGGGGTTTGGTATCAAGGGCCTCCAGTGCTGCGGCAGGGAGATGGAGGCAAAGGTGGCGGCAAGCATGACAAGGGCGGCAAAAAGGGCCCTGGGGGGGGCAAGTCCCCTCAGGGTGGCAAAAGGCCAGGTGGTGGGCAACCGCCACGGGCCCTCGCGCAGGAGGAGCGTGAGATGTGGATGGCCATGTCAGAAGAACAGTTCGCCGTTCTGGGTCAAAGCTTGTCGCAGTCGCACAGAGATCAGCTCGCCCACGCGCGTGCCATGGCCAACTTCGGGCGGCAGGGCGCGCAGGCGGAGGCACAGCAGGCCAACTTGCAGATCGGCAAGTTCTCGCAGCAGGTGCTGCATCAAAAGCAGAGGCTCGCGAAGCTGGAGGAGCAGGCGCAGCAGGCGATCATGGCGGCGGTCGTGGCCAAGCAACAGTTGCAGGAGACGGAGAAGCAGCTGGGCGAGGCCAAGCGGCGCGCGGCCGAGCACCTGGGGGCCCAGGGGCTGGCGCAGTAGATCGCGACCGACGCGTTCGAGGTGCCGATCAAGGAGGCGCTGGGAAAGTTCGAGCAGGCGGTGCCGTCGGAGCTGGCCCCGCAGCTGCAGGGCGCGGTCGACGCGCTCAGGGCGCAGCAGGCCGCAGCAGCGATGCAGGGGAGACAGCCTGGTGGCGCCGCGGCGTCAGGCGGCACCGTCGGCGCCGCCGCCGCGGGCGCGGGCGCGGGCGCCGCCAGCGCAGGAGGCGCAGGCGCTGGCGCCCAGACGCCAGGCGCCCAGGGCGCCGCAGGCGGCGGCGCCGACACGGAGCGCGACGTCAAGATGGTCGAAGCTGATGGTGGTGTTCTTATTGACCTTCGCTCCCAGCTCGAGTCTGATGGCAAGCTCACAGATCCCGAAGTGCAGGCCACCATCCAGCGCCTGTTCAGCAAGGCGACCCAGCGCCTTGAGGAGGAGAAGGCTGAGGTGGCAAAACGAGACAGGCGCAGCAGGAGCCCAGGATCGAGGTCTAAGCTGTCCAGTTCCTAGCCTGTGGAGTTTTTTCTCGGCCAACGTCACTAGTTGGCCGAGATGCCAGAGCTTTTTGGAGAAGGAATGTGATGGAGTCACTTGTTTCCTTCAGGAGTGCAAAGTCGAGAAGGCCAATCTGGCCCAATCCAGCAGCACGCTTTTGAAGTTTGGTTGGAATGTAAGGTTAGGAGCCTGTGAGGTGACCCAGTCTGGAGGCCTGTCTTCGGGGGTAGGAGTCGCCTGTAGATTAGGAGTAGGCATGGGTACCCTGGACGGTTTGCCGAGACCAACCTCGAGAGTTGTATCTGCGTGGATTGGTGGACTGCTGAAGGGTGGCATCATTGGGGTCTCGGTCTACTTACCGTCGGGGGAAGGTGCAGGGGCCCAAGGGCGCCAGATTCTGATGCAGCTCGGAGAGTCACTGTATACGTCTGGGAAACCCTTTGTCATTGGAGGGGATTTCAATGCGACGGCTGATGAAATCAGAGCCCTTGGGACCCTGGAGAAGTTCGGAGGTGTTATTGTCTAGCCTGGGAAGCCTACGTGCAGAGTGGGCAAGGAATGGAGAACGATCGATTTTTTCATAGTCTCAGGAGGACTGGTCCCAGCAGTGGTAAGATGCGATAGGATTGAAGAGACAGAGCTTTCGACGCATTTCCCAGTTAAGCACGGACTCGCATCTTGCTCAGATTCGCGTGCTGGCCAAACCGCGTCAGTTTCCCGTTGAGTTACCAGTGGGACCTGTACCAGGCCCACCGCCAGCTTGGGAAGAGTTGCTAGATAGGTTGGAGACCTTCGTGGAAGGCTCGGTATTCACGGCTGAGCAGGCGAAGGATACGTATGCGGATTTCTGTGCATTGGCAGAGCAGGAGCTGGTGAACACTTACCAGATCGATCCAGCGCAGGCCGATGGGTACAAAGGAAAAGGAGCCCCCTTCAGGTTCGTTTGGAGGCCCGCTCTTACGAAAGTCGGAGGCCCCTACCCTCTGGGATCTCCAGTTTCCAGGGCAATGAGGAGGTATGACGTCAGGGTGGAGGAGTTATTGTTTCTGCTCCGCAAGGGCCGTTCAGGCCAGGATAAGCAGGTGCAGGACTTGCTGAAAAAAAGGCAAGGGGGCCGCCCACGATCCTGTGGGAGTGCGAGCGCTGGGTCAACTGGAGGCATAAGCATTTTTTCTCTGGAAGGATACCACGCCGAGGCGCTGCACGAAGCATCCAGGACCATGTAAAGTGCATCCAGAGTGAGGAGCAGGTTTGGAAAAGGTCTCGGCAACAAGAGCGGAGACAATGGGCCCGCTCGGCCCTGGAAAACGGCGGAGGGAGAGTTCGCAGGTGGACGAAGCAGCCCAGCGACTGGATCCCCGCGGACCCTGGCCTCGATGGGCCCCCTGGTGGTTTTCAGGATCAGGTGGAGGCCCTGGGGGAGGAGTGGAAGCACATCTGGAGGTTCGGGGAGGTGCCCAAGGTCGCTCCCAGGATGCTCAGTGAGATGCCCCTCGAGGACCCGAAGCCGCCTGTTGCGCCAGATAAAATCAGGCCCGCCTTGGGGAAGTTCAAGAAGCACACCGCCGTGGGGGTCTGTAATTGGGCCCCGCGCGCGCTGAAGCAGCTCTGTGCCTCTGGCCTGCTTGCTCTAAGTGTCCTGATGTATTTGTGGGACACGTACTCCCAGCTGCCCGAGCAGATTGCGCTGCTCATTTTGCCGTTTTTGCAGAAGCCTGAAAGGGGGAGGAGGCCCATTGGGATTATCTCCACCCCTCTGCGCCTCTATAGTCGGCTTCGGCATGAGGAGGCGGAAAGGTGGGAGGACAAGCACGCGCGCACGTACATGTACGGAGGAAAGGGTCAGAGTTGCGAGATGGCTATCTGGAAGCAGGCGTTGTTGAACGAGGCCGCTCGAGCCAGCAATTTTTTCAGTGGATGCACGCTGATTGATCTGGAGAAGGCACACGAACGAATCACGCACGAGCAATTGATAAGAGCATGCAACAAGCACGGGTTCAGTTTGAGGAGGTTAAGGTTTCTCCTGTTGGTTTACTCGGGCAAGCGGGTCATTAAAGTAGGAGAGGCGGTGTCTTTGCCCTTTGAGCTGAACGCCACCATTGTGGCAGGCTGCTCGTATGCGACGGCGCTGCTGAAAGTAGTGTTGTTAGATGTTTTCGACGATGCGGCCAAGAAGTGGCCGAGGATCGGCATTTCTTTGATGGTGGACGACACTGGTCTCCAGGCAGTGGGTGATCAGAAGCATGTTCGGACTCAGTTAGTTAGGTGCACTCTGTTTGTTTGCAGGTCCCTGGAGAAGCTCGAGATGAAGGTTTCGAGACGTAAATCGATCCTGGTGGCCTCGGACCCGAAACTTGGAAAGCAGCTGGCATGGGCGCTTCGGGAATTTGGGTTCAAGCATGTTCAGGCGACCAAAAACTTCGGGGTCGATTTCAAGCTGAGGACTGGAAAGGGTAGAAAGGTAACAAGAAAGAGACTGAAGACGACCAGGGGCAGGGTGCGAAGGTTCAGGGCCTTCAGATTCTCTCGGAAGCCGCTTCAGAATGTGTATCGAGGAGGCCCCGCGCTGGCGGTAATGTATGGTGTTTCGGTCGTCGGTCTCGGCGACACGCAGTTGGAGCAGCAGCGCGCCTCGACAGGGGCGGCTATGTTCGGGCCTGTCAAGGGCCGCAGCCGCAGCTTGCAGTTCCTTTTGGCTGAGGTCGAGAAGCTCGACCCGATGTTCGCAGCAAATTCTTTGCCTCTGCAGATGTGGGTCAGAGCAGTATTTGATTCGTGGGCCACGGATGCCCAGATGAAGCACGCCTTCGACTACGCGGTCAAGGCTAGGCCTCAAGGGTGGAGGACGGTCCTAGGCCCAGCAGGAGCGGAAGTGCTCACCCTTCGAAGGCTCGAGTGGGAAGCTGTCTCCTGGGATGTTTGGGTCGACACGGACGGAGTGACCATCAACATCAAAGAAGTAGGGCCTAGGACTGTGCAAACCCTAGCGGATGAAGCGACTAGACGGCTGCTACGTATACGTGCGGGAGCTCATTACAATGCCTCTTGGGAGCCATGTGTGGAGCCTCTGCGTGATAAACTTGCTAGGTTAAGAGGTGCTGGAGATTTCCTTGGGGCCAGTCTGCTTATCGCACAGGTTTCTGGAGGTCTCTGGACTCAGGCCGGCGTGTTCAGGAAGAGATACGTGATTGATGATCGGTGCCAGTGGTGCCTCCAGAAGAGGGGGTCGGTTTATCACCGATTATGGGGCTGTGACGGCTCCAAGCTGATCAGGAGGGACCATGACAATAGTGGAATGGGGGCCGCTGCCGTGGCCCTGACTCAGCCTGATATCGTGTTCACGAGAGCCCTGGTGGACTCCAAGAGGACCGAGTTCCCCAAGATCCTCCAAGGTGCCGAGTATAGGTGGGCTGTGAAGCCCGAGAGTGGAGTGCTAGGCGACACCGTCTGCATCGACGGCTCCGCCTACGACGGAGATATTCGTTGGCTTTTGCGTGCTGGTTGGGCGGTCGCCTCGATCAGCCCGAGTATGCAGGTGGACGCAGTGGCCTACGGGCCCTCCCCTCTCCCAGTGCAGGACGTGCCGTCCAGTGAGCTTTACGCCCTCTACAGGGCGCTATGCCTCATGGGACCCAGTATCCACATCATACGGATTGTAAAATGGTCTACGACGGGTGGAACATGGGAAGGGAGGGGACGGTAAAATCCAACAAGTGCTACGCGGAGCTCTGGCGCCTCATCTGGATGAGGATCGAGGACGTCGGAGCAAATTCGGTGAACGTGTGCTGGATGCCTTCGCATATGTCGGAGGCGGCGGCGCAACGAAGAGGCTACGAACCTCATTGGTTCAGGGGCAACCAGGAGGCGGACTCCTGGGCCAAGACAGGTGCCAAGGCGCATCCAGCAAATCATCACCTTCGGGATCGTCTGCGGCATCATCATGATCAGGTTACGCTCATCTCCAAATATATGGTGGCAGTTCTCAAGCATGTCCATCAACTGGGCTATCCTGCTGTATCATCATACTCTGAGCGTGCCAAAAGAGAGCCTAGAAATTCGGAGGCCCCGATTCTAGAGATAGTCCCAGATGATAAGGGTCACGTTGTCTCGCAGGCTCCTGGCGGTGGGTGGGGATGCGGTGTCTGTGGGCTGGCGCGGGCGATTCGCTCTCGGCTGGTGTAGCTGCCGTGTCCTGGGCGTCCGAGGATTGTGTCCCAGGCCCACCCCACCCATCGTCTCTGGCAGAATGGAGGGCTGACCTGGTGCGTGCGCTGTGGAGCGTATGCCCGTTCGAAGGTCAAGGAGTTGTGCAAAGAATGCGCGGGAAACCCCGACACTGAGTGGAAACGGAAAGCCCTGGGGATTTTGAAGCAGGGGAAGGATCCCTCGCACTCTAAACTGGAGGCGGTTATCCCTGTCCCCCTCAGGCGCTGAGTTTCCGATTCATGTAAAGGGCGGGCGTCTTGTGTCATGCGGCGGAGCGGAGGAGGCGGAGGAGGCGGAGGGGCGGAGGTAGGCGGGGGAGGAGGAGGAGGAGGAAGTGGAGGCGGAGGAGGAGGAAGAGGAGGAGGAGGCGGAGGCGAGGCGGAGGCGGAGGATAGGAGGAGGAGGAGGCGGAGGAGGAGGAGGAGGGAGGCGGAGGAGGAGGAGGAGGGGGGGAGCGAGGAGAGGAGGAGGAAATGGAGGAAGGGGAGGACGGGGAGGAAGGGGGCGGGGGAGGAAGGGTAGAGGCGGGGAAAGGGGAGGCTGGGGAGGAAGGGGAGGAAGGGGGAGGGGGGATCGCAGGGGGCGTGGGAGGGGACGGGGGATTGGGGAGGAGGGAGAGGGTAGGAGGAGGAGGAGGAGGAGGAGGAGGAGGACGGGAGGAGGAGGAGGAGGAGGCGAGAGGATGGGAGGAGGAGGAGGGAGAGTGAGGAGGAGGAGGAGGAGGAGGAGGGAGAGTGAGGAGGAGA